AATGCAGTAAGGGATTCTGGAGGAAGCTGCCATTTATCTTGCCTCTGATAGGCAGACACAAACATGGCTGGTCTTTCCCAGCTCATACTTTGGTTATTGCTTTGTTTACAGCAAACACAATGCTACTTCCCAACAACCAAAATCTGTGTTTCCTTAGCCCTCCTTTGCTATGTTTCCAGTGCTAATACTGGTGAAACAAATGCTTCCAGATAGAAAGAAGAGGAAAAGGAAAATGGGGGTTGGGGGTGGGCTTGGCAGGAGTAAAATTTAATCTATTTTAGGTTGAGGAGAGGGTAAAAAGGACTGGTAGGGTTGTCTTCAGAACAGTACAATGTGTGATACAGTGATGCCATGTTGTAAACCAGTGGTTCTCAAACACCTCAGATGCAACCCCCCCCCCCCAATATAGTATATGAATCGAAAGACTTTGGTGTGTGTATTTTTGTTCACACATTCATGTATTTTCATATTTAATAATAATAATAATAATAATAATTTATTTATATCCCGCCTTTTCACCTTTTATAAGGAAATAGCTCTCCTCTTCCTCCTCCCTCAGGCAGAGGCCCCAAGCACCCCCCTTGCCTTTCTCTTCCCCTCCAGGAGAAAAATTTAAGGAGAGATCAGGGTCTCCCAAGTCTCCTGTCCCCTTTGAGCACGGTTTGAGAACCACTGTTGTAAACCACTGCTTGTGTTTCACTGAGAGATGTGAAATAACTGTGGCTTTTCCCTCCCTAACAATGCTGTTTCTTCCACTAGGATATTATTTTGAACACCCTTGTTGAAAATGTCTACTCCTGATCCTCCTATGGGAGGGACACCTCGTCCTGGGCCTTCTCCGGGGCCTGGGCCTTCTCCTGGTGCTATGCTGGGCCCCAGTCCTGGACCATCCCCTGGTTCCGCACACAGTATGATGGGCCCCAGCCCAGGGCCGCCATCGGCAGGCCACCCTATACCACCTCAGGGGCCTGGAGGTTATTCTCAGGACAACATGCACCAGATGCATAAGGTAGTAAACCATATCACTGCTTCATCTGCATGTGTATTTGGTGGTATTGCTTTGCATGCTTTGTTGTCATGAGTAGAATTTCATATTTTCTCACTCTTATCTTACCATGTAGGGAATTTATTTATCAAAGGTTTTTTTCCCTCACCTCATGACTATTATGATGAGAAAATCTGTCATTTATCTTTCTGCCTTTTCTCCATAGGGTTTTTAACATTTTCCTTAGAGGTGCTGTTAATCTCCAATGTTTCAGGCAATTCCTTCCCTTTGGAAACTGTTTTCTTTGTTATTTTGCTATCCTAACAGTTATCTGGTTGTTGTTGTTTTGAAAATTTGTCTTCTCATTGGAGGAAAAGGGGAGGTATAGAGTTACTGGTGTTAATGGGCCATATTTATTGTTAGTCTGCCTAATAATTTAGGTTCTGCACACTGTCGGTAAAACAAGTTCCTGTTTGGAGTTTTGCTGCTTTACTTTATGCAAAGCTTTCTCCAGCAAGTAGCATTCAACTTGTCCTTTTTGTTTTCAATGTACGCATTTCTGTTGGAATAGTAAAGTTTGATGTTAGAACAATAGCACAGGGGATTAGCAGATTATTAATATTAAATGTATCAAATATTAAATACATTAAATATAATAAATAAATATTAAATATATAGTTGAATGTATATACTTTAATCACATTGTGTGTGTGTATGTGTGTATTACCTTAAAGTTACTCCTTGGCAACCTCATAAATTTCACAGGGTTTTATTAAACTAGGAATTCTCAGAAGTGGATTTTCCCATTCCTTCCTCTAATATAGCCTACAGTACCTAGTACAGTATTTGGTGGTGGTCTCCCATTCAAGTACTAACCAGGACTGATCCTGCTCAGGTTCCATGATCTGATGGGATCTGGTGCCTTTGGAATATTTAGGTCCTCAGACACATAATACTGGGGAAATAAGAAAATCCTAGGATGTATGTGATGTGTATGTGTGTGTGTAAACTTTTGTCTTAACATATACTCTCATATTCACGAATGCTTACCACATTGTGTTCAGTAGGGCTTGCTTTCAGGAATGCAGATTGCAGCCTGATTCCTCTAGAATACCTAAAATTTATTTATCAGTAGTTTCACATGCAGATTTGCTGAATTGGTTGTTGTGCCTCATAGGTAGGTAATGTAGTTTAGCTCCTTCATTGGAACAGATTCTGTTTAAATTGATTCTAGTGATTTGATTTTATGTTGTTGCAGCCAATGGATTCCATGCATGAAAAGGGAATATCTGAAGACCCTCGTTACAGCCAGATGAAAGGCATGGGGATGAGAGCTGGTGGGCACACAGGAATGGGGCCTCCTCCAAGCCCTATGGATCAGCATTCTCAAGGTATACTTTCCTTTAGGATTCATGTGGGTCAGATTGCTACTTAGGTTATGAGTTGTTGATACAAGTTACTGAATTTGAGATAGAATGGCAGCAACAGAAAAATTGCCACAATGTGTATAAATCATTTTTTATTTTCTGACCATTCACAAAAAAGTTCAGTCTTCAGTTTGTGTTGCCATTGATGTGATACATTGTATTGATCAAGCAAAGCTGTATAGGAGAGCAGTGTTTTAGCAAGAAATCAGTATGTCAGAAGAGCATAAAATTATGTTTTTTGATGGGGTGGAATGGCAGGTGTAGCAGGTGGTAATAGTACTGCTGCTACTTTCTGCCACTGATTGCTCTAGGAATCTAGATCTAAAAGCCGAGAGGTCATGGTTTTAGCATTACATAAATACATATTAACAAGGCTGAGCAAAGTATCATACTCATGCTTTCCACCCCACTCATTTCCTTTTGCACAATCAGGAAGAAGACTTCTGCCATTTTAATACATCTTGGCTTAGTGTTATGTTTCAGCAAGGGATTCCAATTTTAAAATGAACCATGGGATGTAGTTCTGTGTTCCCTGGAAGGATAGTACTATGATTTTTTCAGTTCTCCTTCACTAAGGGGGGAAGCAGATGGCTTAAAGAGCTATTTTGGGGGCAGGGAAGGGGAGGGGCAGCCTCACAGTGGGCGCCCCAACCCCTTCCCCAGGTCATCCTCGGAGCAGCCGGCCCTCTGCATGGCCGGCACTCCGAGGAGGACCTCCCGCTGCAGCGTCCGTACACGCTGCAGCGGAAGAGTTGCTGAAGGTGCGCTGCCAGCTTTTGCCGCGCAGCTTTGGCGACTTGTGAAAGGAGCGCCAATTTAGCGCTCTTTCCAGGGGCGGCGCAGCTTCCCAGGGCGGCCCACGGCCACCCGCCTGCTTCCCCCCTAAGAGGTGAGAGACAGGTCCACCCGCAACGGTAAAGATCCAACTTTCCAAGCCTCCCACATGAGGATAGGTGCTTCTCAGGTGTCCCAACTTCAGGAACGATGACATGAAGGAGGTGCACCTGGGGATATGCTGGAGAAAGCTGTGGATATGCAGGATCCAAAGCTGTCCTGTTTTCCTGACATGTACCTGAGATGGAAGGAAAACTACATGAGTTCTGGAGCTGGTATAGTTTAGTACCTTCCCACTGGGGACAGTGGAAGGGAAACTTCGAAAAAACAGATGTATGTGAAAAGCCAAATGAAAAGGAAAAAAGGTATCTCACCCACCACAGCTCAACAGGCATAAGAAAAGGCAGTCCCTCTACCTTCTCTCCCTCGCACATATAATTGCTCCTTTAGTCAGTGTGAAAACAAACCAATTTCAAACCACACATTTTGAAGCTGGCTTTTAAAACTAACATTTATTTTTGACGCAGGATCCCCAGTTCAAATGTAACACAAACTAAGATTGTTTAAAAGTGAAAACAAACTTCTCAGATGTCCTTCACCTGGCTTTACAGGAAGAGAGAGGGGTATTAGGCACATGAGTCAGATGTTATGTTTAAATATCTTGTACCAAAAATTAATGCTATGTGTGAATGAGTTCAGTTTCAAGATAATCTTCTGCAAACTCTGCTTCCCATCCATATATTTTGAATGTTTATAATTACTCTCAGTTTAGAATATTAATTAGAAAATGGAAGCAGTATGTCTATTAACATGCACAAATATGTTTCAAATTCTTTTAACTTTGACGACAAGAAGTATACTGAAAATAAATCTCTCTTTCTGCATGCCCATCTTGTTTCCTTAGGTTACCCTTCTCCACTTGGTGGTTCTGAGCATGCGTCAAGCCCAGTTCCAGCTAATGGTCCTTCCTCTGGCCCCCAGATGCCCTCTGGCCCTGGTGGAGTCCCATTAGATGGTACTGACCCACAAGCACTGGGGCAGCAGAATCGGGGCCCCACTCCTTTTAACCAGAATCAGCTACATCAATTGAGGGCTCAGATTATGGCCTACAAGATGCTTGCCAGAGGGCAGCCTTTACCCGATCATCTTCATATGGCAGTGCAGGGAAAAAGACCAATGCCAGGAATGCAGCAGCAAATGCCAACTCTACCTCCACCTTCTGTATCTGGAACAGGACCAGTGCAAGGCCCAGGGCCTGCATCTGGACCGACACCTCCAAATTACAACAGACCTCATGGTAAGTCAGAACCCTCCTGGAGTGAGTGTTAAAGCTTTGTCACCTGTCTACTGCTAGAACCATGGCTTCTTCTCCCTTTCTTTAGGAACAGAAGTAAATTTTGTAGAAATAAGTATTTTTGTTGTTTGCCTTCAAATCTGACTTATGGGTCCAAAACACACTGCAGAAATAATCCAGTTTGAGATCGCTTTAACTGCCCTGGATCAATGCTAGGGAATTCTGAGAATGGTAGTTTTATGAGCCATTTAGTCTCTTCTGTCACAGAGCTCTGGTGCCACAATAAACTACAATTCCTAGAAGTCCCTAGCACTGAGCCAGGGCAGTTAAAGGGGTCTCAAACTGGATTCTGCAGTTTTGTTTTGTTTTTTGCACCATGGTGACACTTAGGTAACCCTACCACAGGATTTTCTGGGGCTGAGAGTGTGTGACTCACCCAAGGTCACCCACTGGATTTCTGTGGCTGAGCAGGAATTGAACTCTGGTCTCCACAGTCATAGTCTGACACTCAAACCACTACACTACACTGTCTTTCAGAAATAAGTCTTACTTTGTTTATATCTCTGTCTAATGTCTATACAGGTATGGGAGGACCTAACATGCCTCCTCCTGGACCCTCAGGAGTTCCTCCAGGAATGCCTGGACAGCCCCCTGGTGGACCCCCAAAGCCCTGGCCTGAAGGTGAGATTCTCAAAGGGAAGGCGGCTCACTGAAGTTCACTTTTTTGCTTAATTTGTGTACTGAATTAGAAATTTAATTTTCATGAATAACAAGGCCCTCTGGCATCCTAAAAACTAAAAACTAGAAAAGCTACCCCACTGCAATCTCCGTAAAATGTAAATGGCGTATCACACTCTTTCAGTAATACCTATTTGGCCATTTTTGCAGGAAATTGAGCTGACCTCTCTTGAAATGGTTGTGCAGTAATGTTAACATAAAATTTCAAATGTTACCTGTTTGAAAAATGGCATTAAAGTTCAGAGTTGATTCGTTTTCATTAGTAATGGGTGGCAGCGGGTGTTTGTATGTTTTCGAATGGGTCGTTGGAGGGGGATAGACATATTTTCAAGGATAAAGAATATCTGATTTATCATAAAGTATTCATATATTGTTCATTATTTATTTATTTGTTTGTTTATTTAGGTGATACAAATATATATCCTGCCTGGAGATCATAGTGGGAAACTGCATGGGAGTGGGTGGGGACTGCATCCACTGGCACTCTCAAAAAAGATGAATTGGTTATCTCAGAACCCCCTCACTCCTGAGCCCTAGCATTTTAAAGCCTTTTTAACCAACAGCAAGGTTTGGAGCTGAAAAACATTTTTTGTTAAATTTTTGGAGTTGCAGCATGGGAAATCAAGAGCAGGAAAGTGTTATCCCCTGGGCTGCATGTAGCTCACTACTGCCCCTAGGATGGCTCTCTATC